ACCCCCCTCCCCCCTCCGAAACATCCTGGAACCGTCTCTGAAATCAACGTCTTCTCATTCTATAACGTCAGTAAAGATCACAGTCTTTTTGACCCCAAGGCTTGAAAACTGTTCCTGCAGGTGCATCTGTTTGCAGGTATGTCACCTGTGAAACGGTAGAGGGAGTTGCCGATGATGTGCGTTGAGCGATGTTCTTGTTAAAATTCTTGCTGTTGTCTTTCCGGCCATTGCTAGCGGTATTCTCAAAGTCTAACACATTTTCGCTGCAATAAAATATGTATATCTATTTACAAAAACGTTGTGGGTCTGAGATCTGAAATGGCGGGCAAGTCTGAGACTAAACCAAAAGGTTTTGTGCTTTTATGTTTTTCTGGCTACAATACGAAAAGTCACATTTCTAACTCAAAGTCATGCCTCATATTCCAATCAATCTAAGAGAGAAAGAAAGTTCTATATTGTTCGGCTATGAAAAGGAGACTACGGTTTCAGTTTGGAGCGTGCTAGTCGGTAACAGATTCCAGCTTTCAGATCTTCGACCCACAAATATTACTAGCTCGAGATAAAAGAAGGCGATAGCTTTTTGACCCTACTACAGCTGTCTTAGCTTAGTGACAGACCATTAGATTTGGGGAGGGGGGGGGGGGGAGGGAAGGGGGAGGAGAAGGGGGGTGGGAAGGGGGGGGGGACAAAAACCCCAAAAAATTCGAGCACAGCTTCAAAGATCGAAAAAAAATCGTGCATAAGAAAAGTGCCAGAAAAAATTCCAAATTATGTCAAAAAAATTTCCTGCACAGCCATGAGGCGTAAAATAAAATTCCTGCACCAAAAAMAATTGTCCAACTCCCCACTCAAAAATCTAATGGTCCGTCCCTTAGTGACTAAAACATGGGTAGAGTAGCCCTACAGATTCTATATTGTTGTGCTTCGAATTAAAAAGTTTATAAAATAACTGTTATGAATGACGCGTTCTGATTGGTTTGGAGCGCGTGCTTTATGAGAGCACATTGCACGCGCGCGCACTTTCCGTTGCGTCATTCCTATCTTAAATAACGGTTATTGTAATTTGTATTTTATAAAAGAAATAAAAAACTTGCTTGCTGTGCTGTGTGCAGTCATAAAGCACTTGGGGATTGGCAGAACACTAGAGAAGTGTCCAGAAGCACTCCGCTACGCGTCGTGCTTCTCCTAACACTTCTCTCGTGTTCTGCCAACCCCCGCGTGCTTTATGACAGCACACAGCACGCGCGCGCGTTTTCTATTTCTTCATTCTCTAATAGAGCAGCCTCAGGCCAAAGCGCACATGTAAGAGCCTGTCAACTAGGATACAAAAAGGTGGACTAGGACTTTCTCTTTGTAAGGAAAACGTGACAGACCCACTAGTCAAAGTAATAAATGGTGTGCACTTATTTTTGTGGTCTTTTCGCTTACCGATTCTTTTTCTTCGTAAGTGTACGGGAAGTGTTTCTTGTCTTGATTATAATTACAATCAAAACAACCAACAGAAGCAAAATCAGGGTACCAAGAACTGCACTGGTTATGATAAACTCAGAGGATGCTGTGAAGAAGTTTGATAATAATTAATATTCTTGTCTTGATCTGTGTAAGGTCCTACAAGAGGACCCACACTCTAAATGTAAACCATTTCACACTAAAGATTATCCCACCTAGTTTTTAGATTGTACAAAGTTTCAAGAGGTATTTAGGTATTCGATATTTCTCAGATCCCACATTTTTAAAACGTAAATGCTGAATATCGCTCAGCAAATGATTTACTCAGTTTGGGAAGTAAGGGTGGGATAGTGGTGAGATCACTCCCCCACCAAAGTAACCAAGGCTCGATTCCCGTACTCCGTGTCATATGCGAGTAGAGTTCCTCCTTCGTCTCTYGACTTCGAAGACTTTTCTTCGGGTTTTCAACTGGTTTTCTGTCCCTCCACAAAAATAAACTCTTTTAAATTCCAGTTCGATCATGGACTAAACGAAGGTCACAAGAAACACTACCTTCATTAAACAAGAAAATTAATTATTTTCATTTAATGCTTAGGTCCTCAAGCCAGTCATCGGGGGAAACGTTTTTGTACTTACGGTAGCAGCCGCTTGCATTGCAGTTTCTTTTCTGTATTTTTCCTTCGCATGGTTGTAGGGTAATTGTATGACATGATCTTGTCCTATTCTGCTCTCCGTTGCACGACTTACTGCAGGGACCCCACGAATTCCACTCACTGTACAATGCTATTATGCAATAAGATTTAAAAATAAGACATTGTACAATAAGTGGTCTAGGCATATGACAAAAGATAGCAGCAAATCTGGCGGAATGTGGTTGACTCAATCTCCAATAAATATTGCTTTGCTTGGTGTTGTCAGTAATATGTCTACGAAACACTCAACGACTTCTTCTTGTCACAAAACAGCCGATGAAGTTAATTGAAAGGTTTTACTCAGTATAGACCATTTGTTCCTTTTTCCCATTTAGTTTTGGAGAATTTTTATGTTAAGTTCTAAGGACCGATTTAGGGCAGCTTATTTTAAATCATTTATTCATGCCGTTTAATTGACATTTTCTATCAAAAAAAATGTGAAAATGATTTCGAACTACAAGGCGGTCAAAAGCATAAAGTAAACACCTCGCGCAAAGGAATGGTACCGATCTTCTACAAGGGACTGACGAACACTGCTAAGAGGCTTTCCAAGATGGTCAGGAAGTGTTTTGATGCGTGTGTAACTAGAGTGTGAAGGCGAAAGAAATTTCGAGAATTAGTCATCGAATTACTTTTTGTTGACCGCATAACGCCATATGGGCATTCGAATGTGTTGAATATAGCTAAGTATGTTTTTTTTTTAAAAAAAACGATCTTTCCATTTTAGAAATGTAAATTATATATTATATCATTTAGTAATGTACTTCATGATGGATGGTAAAAGGGCCGGTTATTTTATACCTTCATTACTTTATTTGTCCTTAATCATTACACTCAGCAGCGTTAATAAAATTAAATACTAATAAAGCCATTAGTTAACCATAGTGTCGAAAACGAACAGAGAGTTACTGTGATAGATGTACTTACCTGATAATGAAGTAAAAAGAGCACACAATATGACAACCGTCAGCTGCAGTTTGATGCCCATTATAATCCTGTATTATCATTCGAGGTCTGTTTACAATGAAAATTAACCGCCACGCCTTGCAGAACCAAGAACTGCCTATCTTGCTCGAAGAGAATTTTTCAGACCACAAAAATAATTGTGCTTGCTCTACTTGCAAAATTACACAAACTAGAGCTGGCAATCAAACTGAGTTTTGACGAGAGAATATAATGACAAAAGGAGCTCTGACCATGAGAAACTACCTCCTGCAGATCTTCATTGTTAGATTATTAATCATTCCAATTATTCAGCTGTTCCATTGAACAATTTAGCTCTGCAGTAGTCTCTTGTTATTTCAAATAGTTTTAAACTGAACTTGTGAACTATGAGTCAGAGCGTGTTTTGGAAAGAAAGTTGAAGCAATGCCATCATATCATTAGGTCCGAAAGTTTTACTGAAAATAAAAATTGAAAACTTTCTGAGAAACGGCATCAGAATATATTAATGGTTTCAGTTTTCTTCTCACAAAGTTATTTGTGCTAATTTTATTTTATTTTGAAACTTTTTTTCTTTCCTTATTTTTTTTAACTTTTACATATTTTGTTTGGTTTTCTATTTTCTTTTTGTGTGTGTGTGAAAAAGTCGTACTTTAATTCTTCCATTGCTAACGAAGGACATTATTAATGGATGATTGATCTCCTTTTTTAGTATGGTATTTGTCGATGTCGTCAAAAGCATTCATCCCAAGAGCATCCCAACGGCGACCTTTCTATTTTTTTCGGTATTTTAGAACAATTTGCATTAATGAAATGAGAAAAGCTGTTGGAGCATAACAACAATTGTCACTAACTAAAGTTTTTTATTTCTAAATCGTCTACTAGTTGTCCACGAAGGATAAAATAGAGGAATATATCAGAGCAGATTTACCACAGTCCACTCGAGATATTGATATCTAATTGTTTTCTTCCAAGAAGACTAATTGTTTGGAACAGCTAAAGCAATATATAGTATCGCATGGATAGGTACTATAAGTGGCTTGCCTGTCTTTTGGGTTTTCTTTGCATCACATCGAACCAAGGTAATTCATTTGCTAATTCATCATCCATAATCTCTAATAAATTGTCTATTATTATAGTAAAATGTCTTAGTTTATTTCATATGGTTCGACTTCATAAACTAGAACTCCATTGAGAAAACTCGCGTAGGATCGATAGCAAAAAGTTAAATCAATAACAATAAATAAATGAAAATTATTATTCTTGTTCACACATTTGTTGCGTTTCGAACCTCATTTAGTCAATGCATTTTCAGTTAGTCCTGGTTGAGATTTATTCATCAGTTTGTTTATTTTTAAGTTCAAACATTTTGCATAGTTTATTTATCAAACGGTGACTAGTCTTGTGGAACGTGGTTAGGATATCGATTAGCCTTCATGGCATTTGAGATCATTGTCAACCAAGTACAGTACAACTATAAACAAGTTATGGCAGTTTTGTATGTGGCATAATGGACGAATTAAGGATTACTAGAAATTTGATTTTTAACTATGTTCAAATGTGACAGAATATTAAGAAGTTTTAAGTCCTGTCAGTTTTGGTGGATTTGATGTTTGATGACTAGAATATGCTGAAATGCTAGAATGTCGTATAAGAAATGATACTGCGAAAAGCCCATTTGGACTGAAACATCAAAACAAACAAAAAACGTCAAGCTGTCGTAGGTATGGGGGAGTACATAAAGTGTCGCTAACCGTATTGCCCATTTGGATAAGCATCATTCTAGCCTTCAGCAATAGTTTCAAATTCACTTCTCTATCCAAATCAAAAGTAGGATTCAAAAGAAATAGTGACTAAGGCTTTCTAGTGAGTTCCTATCACTGCCGAACCATATCTCCTGTTTACATTCCATGCTTGTATAGATTCTCCATATACCTTACTACTTCATGTACGACTTCATGAAGTGGCACCACTCCGTAATATAGTCCTCTTCACGGTTCTTCTGCGATATTGAATAAATGAAGTTAATTACGATGACGATGACACTA